GGGACAGTGTGTGTGTGTCTGCTGGGTACAGTGTGTGTGTGTCTGCTTGGGTCAGTGTGTGTGTGTCACTCTGCATGTGTCAATGAATGTGTGTGTGCAGTGGTCACTAATTGTTATTGTTGACCATTAAGTGTGAGTGAGTGAATGAATGTGTGTGTGAGGGTGTGTATGTATATATCAGTGATTGCATTTGGGCAGAAAGGGCCATTAAAAAAAATCAATAAAAACAAAATAATCAAAACTTTTAGAGGAACACTATAGTGTTAGGAATATAATCCTGTATTCCAAATACTATAGTGTATCTGTTCCTACTTAGACTCAAGCACCCTCTTTCCCCCACCATAAAATAATTTTTTTTTAAAGGGGAGAAGAGGGGTGATTTACTTACGTTTATTTGCGTTTTCCAAGCACCAAGACTCTCTCTGCACTGCTTGCCTCCTTACCTTAATGTCACTGATGGGACAATGCTGGTCCAATCCAATGTTCCATTGGGGACCTGATGCGCATAAATGGCAAGCTCTATGCACGTTCAACGGTGGAGGTGCCTCTAGTGGCTGTCAGTGTGACAGCTATTAGAGACATGTTTAACCCTTCAAGATAAGGCAATGTTTTATCTTGTTGGGTTAAACCTACAGGACCACTGTGGACTGAATAGTGCGGCAGTTTTTTGTTTGTTTTTTGCCTATGGCGGCAAAAATCCTTGCACTGGCCATGATTATAACAAGGTTTTCAAATGATTAAATCCAAATAATTTATCTACAGAAGTCACCATTAAAGTCTATGGGAATTTCTGTAGAGAAATATTTTGGAAAGTATTTATAACATCATTCAATTATTTGGAAAGTTTAAGGCCATAGCTGGAAACCCTTAAACTATTCAATATAAGTCTCTATAATTGCAATTAAAAATATTTGTATAATGCAAACACAAGCACTCTACAATATATAAAGCAAGACAAAAAACTAATTCTAACAAAACACTCTAGACATGCAAAAACAGGAAGTGAAGTTTACAATCTGTGATGACTAACATTAGCAACCCAGATGTTTCAGATGTATATTTTCCTTTATGGCATCTGGGCATCATGGCCAATGTAGTTTAGAAACATCTGTGATATTACAATTTGTCATCAAAAACATTTGATGATATACTTAGTGGTTCATCTTGCTTATGGTCAGCAGAATTGGGTGGTTAAGGAAGACCTGCCTCTAGTTTCTTAAATTGTTATTCATATTCTTGTAATGGTGATAAATACTTTACATTTATTATCTTTCTGTGAATGATTAAATTCTATCAAGTTAATGTTGTTCTTGGCTTTCTATCTCTGAATATAAATGTAATCTATGGAACAAACAGAAAATTAAGTTATTAAACAATCAAGTTATTGAGTCATTAAAAAAATCAAACTTGGCAAAAAGTGGAATAACCGTCAGTTTAACCTCAAACAATATCAAAATATAGATATAGCTCCAAATAAGAAAAACAAATATTTACTGTTGAATTAAGGTGGTTTATACAGTCTTTATGTTTACTTTTGCAGGTCAGTTAGCGGTACATTCCAAGCACCAAAGCACCATAACCACCATGCTTAAAACAGTTTTTGGAAAAAGAGAAAAAAAACAGTGCTAAATTGCCACAATAAAATTATTAGGAAGGCAGCACTCCTCAAAGGGGAGTATTTTTGCAGTCATGTTGTCCTTCACTGGATTCGAACTCATGTGGGGCTGGCTGTCTGCCTGCAGATGGCGAGCTTATGTGCTGTGCCACAGCTGCCTACCTATGCCACAGAGCATCACGTGACGCAGAAGTACTTCTTATCCCACGTCACGTGATCGCTTTTTTAATTTATTTTTTTATTTAAAAAGTAAATTATAACCTTCGTTTTAATATTTAAATAATGCAAATATGCTTTTTATCATTGTATTGTTAATTTTTATGTGTGCAATAACTGTTTTATAATAACTTCCCTGTATTATCTATATGCTAATTTTATGACGTCATTTTGGCAGGAATTTTACATTTAAAGTACTATTACACACTATATAAGCTAATGTATGTCAGGTATGCCCCCCCTCTTTCCCATTATCTACTTAAAGAAGCCAGTTAGGGCGAAACGCGTTTAGATATTAATAGCTTTTGTACTTAATTTTATAATAAAGATATTTTATTGGCATAAAATACTTTATTGCCATTTGCTTTCTCCTTTACCTGATTTTACATACATTTTCTTTTAATTGATTTTACGTATACGGCTCACCCTGCAGGAAGTGCAAAGAATCCATAGGTGGGGATTATACCACCCGAGCGCCTTCACTGAGCAGTTTTGAGTCTGCTCTACTTTACGTGAGTAGTATACTTTACTTTCTTTTAATTTTGGATTACATACAGTGAGCACTATATATTTTATTTCATTTTTTCCTCTGGGTCGTATTACGTCAAATTGAACGCTGAACCCACGTCAGATATTCAACTATCAAAATCTACTCCATATATCCTTGAAGTGGGGATTATTCCACTTTACGCGAGCAATATCAGAGCTGATCCTAGCTCTGAAAAGTGTGAGTAAGACTGATTTTATACTTTTATATTTATTTTATACACCGATTTACTGTGCCATCGGAGTCCTGTTTTTATTTTTCTCTCCACATATGCTGAATTCTCAACATTTGAAGATACGATCCTATCTACACCCTAAAGAATATTCCTTTACAAGTGGGACCTACCCTCATGGACTGTGATAAGCCTATTTTACTGGACTATTGTTTTATTACTTATTTTATTCTGTATTTTATCTGACTAATTTAGTCCTTTATTTTATCAAGTTTTAGGCGCATCCTTATATCTTTGTTTGTTCTTAAAACTGTTTTTACCTGGGGTCCGCCAGGAACCACATGCTGCCTCCACTACATCAGGCAGAGAGCTAGCTTCCATTACCTCTCCTGAACTAAGCTCTGCACTTCAGGGCTAATTCATTGGTAGAGAGCATCAGCTGATCGCTCTCAGCCAATGAGTTAAGCCATACACCACTTTGCTTTGCTCAGACACAGAGCTTCTCTAACTGAAGTTATGGAGGCATGTAAGAAGTGAAACCATTCTAAAAAAAAATTGACTATTTACAAAGGAGAGGGTGTGCTATGTCACTACTGGCACCATAATCACTAAAGTGCATTGTAGTGGTTGTGGTGCTTGGAATGTTCCTCTAATCAGTGGTGGTTGAATGCCTCTTTTTATACATGACAATATCTCACTGGCCTCAGCAACTGCTGATTGACATTGGACATTATTACCTAGTTTGTTGTCTAAAACAATTCTCATGTGTTGTTATCCCTAACTCGCTACCATTTAGGGTGTAGGTTGCTTGTGCATTCTTTACCCTAAAGTGCATAACTTTGCATTTATCTACATTAAATGTAATTTGCCATGTAAATGCCCAGTCCCTCAATCTATCTGCAGGGATGTAATATCAAACTCACGTTGTATTACTTAACAGAGGTTTGTGTCACCTGCAAACACTGACACATTACATTTAATGCTTCTTTCAAGATCATTTATAAATATGTTAAATAGAAGCAGTCCCATATCTGAGAGACACCACTTACCACTTTTGTCCAGCTTGAAAATGTATCATTAATGACAACTAATCAACCAATCAGAGAGCTGTGAGTCAAATTGCACAGCATGGGAAAACAAACTATGCACTATGCTCTTTTTATTTAAGAACTCCCACCCTTGGCCATTGTTGGGGGCAGGAGGGGGCATTAGGTCCACTGTTTAGTTTAATAGCCCTCACTCATAGGGCACAGGTAGGGGCATGGGAGGACACTCTATCTCCCCAGTTCATTATTTAGATAGGTGCCCCACTGTGGGGTCATGGGGTTGCTGCGCCTGGTCCCCCTTTATTGAAATAGTGACAAGGCAGCAATAGCTGTCCAGTCGCTTGCCTTTTCTTTCAGAGATAGACAAAAGGGTAAAAAAAAGAACAGCGCTAATATACGTAACTAAAAAATATCTATAAAAATACAAAAATGAAAGTATGTGCCACACCTTAAAACATAAGACTCCCTAAGCCTTATAAACAACATAGATAAGTCAAACAGGGGCGATAATGGTTGCCTCAGAAATAAAAACGATTGTGTTATAACATATTTATTTATAAAATAAATAAATAAATAAATATATACAGTGGGACCTCAGTTTACAAATTTAATGCGTTGGGATGTTTCTTATTGCCAAAAATTTGTAAACCGAAACGCAGTTTCCCATAGGAATGCATTGAAAACCAATGCATGGTCAGAAAAAAAGTCAAAATGAGCTGGCATGGAAACCAACCCACAATGCAGAAAACACAATAAAAGGCATGCAAACGATGAAGCTCAGCTCCCTACCTTTCCACAGCTTGCGAAATGCACCAAAAAGTCCCAAAACAACTGCAAACAATTTCCAGAATGGCTCCAAAAATCGATGCGAAAGCCGCTCCAACACCTTCACACTCGATGCCACGTGCTACCCACAGGCTCCAGCATGCAGGGGGTGGTGCTATAAACCTCCCAGGTGCAATGCATCCTGGGGAAACTTGCTTTGTATTGCAAAAACAATTTGTAAACCGAGGCATTATTTTCAATGGATTTTCATTTGTAAACCGAAAATTATGTTAACCGAGGCATTTGTAAACCGAGGTCCCACTGTATATGTATATATAGGGACAAACAAATAAAAAGCAAAAGAAAGTTCAAATATAAGTCCAAGTGTGAATCCAAATAGTAAAAGTGCTGGAAGATAAAACCTCAAAGCGTCAGGGTAGTTCCTCTGGAATGGGGTCAGATCAGAGTATTCTTGGAAGCCATATATGCAACAGAAAGAGAGAACTAATGATGCAGAAAATCCCAGAATAACATAAAAGTAAATAAAATGTCTATGGTCCTACCTACAATTGATAAAGCTTAACCTAGCTCTAGTCTGAATGGAGTACAGTGGTACAATCCCCACTTATAGGATACGTGAGACGGTGAAGGTAGGGAGATGCATCATCGGTATGAAGATCATAAAAAATATAAAAGAGACAGCAATAGTGCTCACAGTATAAAAGGTACCAGAAGTATAGAATAATGAATAGGTACTCACATTTAATTGGGCAGACTAACTGCTCAATGTTTAGGTGTAAGTGGTATAATCCCCACCGTGGATTCTTTTAGAGTAGTCCTCACTGGAATTTAAAATTGGACGTCAGGTAGAAAATAATAAAAAAGTAAAATGGCACACTCACAGTGGAAAGAGGCCAAAATATCTTTATTAAAATACAATATAAAACAAACAGTTTTAACAGTTAACAGTTAAAACTGTTTGTTTTACATTGTATTTCTGCCTAGATTAGGTGTTTCTTAAAAAAACTAATACAATCTGTCAACATTGAAGTTGCTGTTTAGTGGATAAGTGAGTGCGCTGGATCTTGTGTATTGTATAAATTGGCCCCCAGCAGCACCCCATTTATGCATGTTCAGGTGCTGCTGGCTGCTGGTTTCATATATATATATATATATATATATATATATATATCCCCTGTTTGACTAGTCTTTTCTTACGACGGTAAGTAGCCACTGACTGTTCTGTGTTAAGTAGACTCGGCCCTACTTTTTATGAACTTAGCTTAAAAACATATGCATGGTGGAATGATTTTCTTGGTATTTTTAGATAATCTAAACAAAAGCAAATAGTGTTAGCAAATGTTTATCTGCCCTCTACTGGTGTTAGAGAGACTTTGAAAAAAACAATGACATTGTTCAAATCAAAGTGTTTGTTTTCTATAAATTGAGTGGTTAGTTGATGATCAATTAGAAACCAATTTAAACAAAAAAACGTGTTTAAGTGTGAAAAATTAAGACAAAATTAAATAGTAAGAAAAAAACAAAACATTAAAGGTATACTTTAGGCCACCCATACAACTTTAGCTTATTGAAGCAATTTTGATGTATTCATCATGCAGTCTCACTGCTCAATATTTATTTGGGCTTTAAAGGGACACTATAGTCACCAGAACAACTACAGCTTATTGTTTTTGTTCTGGTGAGTAGAATCATACCCTTCAGGCTTTTTGCAGTAAACACTGTCTTTTCAGAGAAAAGGCAGTGTTTACATTACAGCCTAGTGATAACTAGATGGCTGCTAGATGTGCTTCCTCGGGTAGTGCTGCCTAGTGTGCAGCACTGCTATTCAGTGTCTCCACCCTCTGCATTGAGACACTGAACTTTCCTCATAGGGATGCATTGATTTAATTAATCTCTATGAGGGGATGCTGATTGGCCAGGGCTGTGTTTGACTTGTGCTGGCTCTGCCCCTGATATGCCTCCTTGACAGTCTCAGCCAATCCTATGGGGAAGTATTGTGATTGGCTCAGACCACCACTTCTGCTGATGACAGCAGCCAGGGGCAGAGCCAGCAGCTGCAGACTTGAATACAAGTAAGATTTTACTATATTTATGGATGCAAGAGGGGCAGGGGGACTAGATGGTGGTTTTAACACAATAGGGTCAGGAATCCATGTTTATGTTCATGACCATGTAGTGTTCCTTTAAATCCCTTATGTTACTCTTTATGCAGTCCCAGCCACACTTAAAATTTAAAATAATGGTTACATATTTAATCAGCTCTTACAGGAGTCTGTGTTTACTTTAGAATTTATTATTTCCTGTTCTATTAATGGAACTTTACTCATACACATGAATCTTTCACAGGCTCTAGCGGGCTAATGACAGAGCAGGAGATAGATATTTCTAGATTAAACTCACTATTAAATATTGGAACCTTTAAAAATCAATTTTTCAGGAAATGTGTAATAAGTATCAGTCAGAAGAGGTGTGGCTTGGGCTGCATGAACAAAGTTATTTAACTCCTAAATGGTAAAGCATTTAGCAGCAAGACTGCAGGGACATGATCTATAAACTAAAACCACTTCATCAAGCCAAGCTTATTTTGGTGCTTATAGTATCCCTTTAGGTCTATAGATCTGAAGGTTTTATTTTCTTTCAACAATGTATCATGCACCTATTTAAACTGGAAGGGTTAAATATATTCTGTTTTCTAATAATAAGCAATAGATGCATAATTACATATGAAACAAAGTGAATTAGTTGGATGTGAGTATTATACCCAAATCTATACTAATTAGGTGAGTGGAGCACTATGCAAATCAAGAAATAAAAACTTACCCTATTTAGGGTTGGGTGTACATTCAATACATATAGAAAGAAACCAAATAAAAACAATATAGTCTAAATCCACAAAAAAGGTGATGTTAAAACAGAACTTAATCTTAAGTGTTTCAACTCACATGGATTAGAGCCTCTAAAGGACAGGCTCAAATCACATCAACGGTAGTGTTGGTGACACTGCACCCTTTTGTGGGAGTGAATTTCCTGAAGAGACAAAATAAAAAGGAAGAATTCCTAGTTTATCACATTTCAATATAATTTACAACATAAAGTGCTGATGGTTGTGCTCACCTTGTATAGAGCCAATAAAACCTGGCTTTGGATAATGAACCTGGGTGCCTCTGGGCACCTTTCCTTCTTTAGCAGCAAGAAATGGATAAAGCCAGTAGGACCTGATGAATTTATTACAACTTTAAATATATATATAAAAAAAAACTAATAAAAAGTACCATAAAGTGCATAAGTTAAAATGTCCAAATAATGGCTTGGAGTCCGAGACGCGTTTCGCCCACATGCAGTGGGCTTTTTTAATCGGTATTATTGTTCCTTCCATTGTTGCTGCTTTTAAATATGCCGGGTCCTAGATCCTATAGGTCCTTCTCCAGACTTATCTTCCAATCAGAATCACGGATGGTGGGAGGCCAAATATCTACACCTCCAGTTGATCAAGGTAATCGGAAGTGACGTAGAGTCCCCGCTTACTTCGTTTCCATTTTGCTTGTGGGTATATGTCCACAAATCTAAATCGGAAGTGACGTGATAGAATTAATTCTCCTGTCACTTCTTTTTTTGGTCACTGTGTCCATAATAAATGTGGGAATCGGTATAAATGTGTACAGTGTTGCCCTTACATCAGACTTCTATTGGAGTTAACCCTTTACCCGAGCCCAGGCTAAGCTTTTGGCAAGAGGACTCAAATTTGCTCCAACAAAACCATTCAATAAATTTGATGCATATACTGTATAGACCTTCAAAGGTTTAAGAGGAAACTGTGTCTTAAAAAATCCTTTCTCAAAACCCCAATTACTTGAACAGAGGCCATTAATGAATATACAGAATTTATTCATTTAAAACCTTAAAGAACCCTCTCCCTTCTTCCCGCGCTCCTTAGTATCAGAAGAAATGATCACATTTGAAAAAATGGTGATACGTGATGCAAAAAATAAAAAAATAAATAAATATGAATTTAATCTATGAAATGATGAAAAACAAGCATTAAAATGCCTTAAAAAAACCCTTGGAGGGGTGCTCTCCGTCACCCAAGATGGAGATCGTTTGGGCGGTGCGCGAGGTGGATGGCCACTGCCCTGCTATCCTGTCTACCAGCGGCATGCCAGCAGCACAAAGCTAGGTCGATCTGGCCCTGTCCCCCCCCTTCTGGGCCAGTGGGGGTGATCCCGGTCCCCACCCTGTGGCCCCTATGGATGGGAGAACACCAGCATTCCGAGCTGTGGCAGTGTCGAACCAGGGCACAGAAGCCACATCCAAAATGGCGGAGACCGCTTGTCGAGCCACTTATGCAAAAGGGAAGACCGAATGTACCTTGTATAACCCATGCACAACAAAATCAAGAATTAAAAAAAAAAAAGCCTTAAAAATGATGACAGAGTGGTCATCAAACCCGCCGATAAAGGCGGGGGAATATTAGTAGTAAAATCTTCTAACTATATTGAAGAAGCTTTAAGACTATTAAGTTCCAACTAACAGCTTTAAAATTACCTATTCACGACTAATTGACAAAGGCAAATCCCTAGGTATTCTAAATAAAAAACAAATTACGTTTTTAGATATTACTCACCCTAAAATTCCATCTTCCCAAATTTCACAAAAATAAAGAACACTCCCCAGGCCCACCAATTTTCTCAGGAATTGTGTCCATTTCTAGCCATCTGTCCCAGTATATTGATAAGTGTATACAACCAACAGTGCAAAGATGCACTAGCCATTTAAAAAATACATTGAATGTTTTACACATTTTAAAGGACCAGGAATAGGAAGACATTTATTATCTAGTATAAAGATTTTCCCCAGGCCCAAATTGATTTATCCTTGAGGGTATAGTCTGGATACTTAACAATTATTTTTGGTTCAGAGAAGAATTTTACCTTCAATTATGTGGGACGGCGATGGGCACCAGGTTTGCTTCCAGCTATGCCAACTTGTTTATGTCCCATTGGGAAACCCATTTTATATATGGCGACCATGGCTGGGGGCAAAGCCTGGTGCTATATCGCCGCGACATAGGCAATATATTTTTTTATTTGGAAGGGAGATGAAACCTCCCTTCAAGAATTTTTAATATTTTTAAACTCCAATGACTGGGGCATCTCACTAATTAGTGAGTATAGCAAATCAATCATCAAGTTTTTGGATTTAAACATATATATAGAAGATGGGAAAAAAAATCAAAAACATATTTTAAAAAAGTAGATATCAACAGCTACATAGAGAGAAAGAGCTGCCATTTCTCACTGTGGCGGTTGAATGCACCAAAGGCTCAACTTCTGAGAATTAAATGTAATTGTACAGAGAACCACATATAAAGGGTATCAAGAGGAACTTTTAAAGAAATCTTTTTTAGAGGTGCATGAGAGAGACAGACTAAGTCTTTTAAAATATAAACCACCCACTGCTGTCAAGGATAATAATCAAGTAACCTTTATTTGTGACTTTAACTCTAAAAGCCATATGTTTAAAAAGATCATTAATAAATATCGGCCTATTTTAAAAGATTGTAACACAGGAGTGATGGAAGTGAGCGCAGGACTTATCTTTTTGTATTTGTTTTCACTTTTTGTATCACACAGCTTTGTTACAATGCTGCCGCCCATGCAATGTGTTCCCTATTAAGGGTTAATAAATATATAGGAATGTATATAAAAAATACCCCTCTCTGTCTCATTAGAGATATCTTTGCCAGAAGCTCAAGGAAGCAAGGTGAAAGGTTAGTGTAGGACCCGCCTAGGGAGGTCTGCCTTGACGTTGGCAGGCAGGCATTCCTTCCAGTGGCCATTGGAGTTACTAAATGACCTCCATTTGTTTAAATATACAT